AGCGTTCCAAAAGTGGAAGGTAGCGGTCAAGCGTGAGGGGGTCCAGCCACCTTAAAAGTACTAGAACAATAATCTAAAATGAACTTGATTAAAGTTAGACAAGTCGACATGTCGACAAGTTGTACGCTCTATAAAGGCGATTTAAAATTTTCTCCAGCATGTTAACTTTAATCTCGTAAATGTATTAGTCTAGATGATACCTTGTGCAGCAATATATTTACGTTTCGTTCCATCGAATCCCTGTTGAACAGATAATAGTAAGAAATGATGCCTAGTCTAAATAGTTAGGCTTTAGCACTCGGTGCACTAATTGTGCACGCATTTTAAACTAACCCAATTAAGGCGAAATTTCAATTTGTCAATACAATATATGGTTGGCGTATGGCGGTGAGTGAACTATACTCACACTTATATAAGAAGCGTTGATGTAGTCGGAATCCTCATCACCATCGGTTTGTTCGATAATCACACGAGARTGGTCATCTGTAMAAAAAGGARCACAAAAGTTTCGTATTTTCAAAGAAAAGATTAATAGGAATTTAAATCWGTACTTACATGGAATGACGTTGCCATATCGATTTTTTTTCTTGTTCATCGGCTTTTTGGCAAATGCCTTTGAGTAGGAAAGGGCGTTTGGTAGCTTCTATCAAAATAATCAAAATAATTTTTAACAAAATACTCAAGAACATTTATTAACAAGTCTATGAAGTTCTTGCCTTGTATTCTTCTTTCAGTCGTGCGTAGTCGGTGGCCTTGGTGGATTTCACGTACTCAGCGAATTGCCGCACTGGAATTGGTGTCACATCGTTTTCTATTGCTTCGTCGTAAATGTCATCTTGACTAGGAACAGCCTCTTCTTAAGAAAAAGCATACATGGCTGTTAGGTATGTAATCTAATTGTATTAATCATCTTTTGCCATATACTTTGTCTTATAAAATGGGTAACTTATGCTCGCTCCTACAAAGGATGATAGTTAGATTGAATTTGGTACCAGTGTCAAACAATACGAGATTAATTTCACGTAAAACGAGGAAGCCAACGTACCTGCAGTCGAAATAACCACTAATTCATTTTCCTGGCCTTTATTTACATTCTCACTTTCATTGTCTTTAATATCATCAAGTGGGACCGTACTTTCTTTCCTCGCATCTCTTTTTTGACGGCGACTGCAAAAGTAACACGATACAAAAGTGAATTTCAAGCTTGCGAGAGATTTTGCCTTTATTATCTTGTATTTGCGGGAGTACGCATTCTTGAAATAAAGCCTACCGCGGCTCCTTGTGCATTTTCCAGGAATTTGGCTTGATTCTGACTCTAAATCAGTATTTCAGTTATGAAGAGTTGTCAAGACTATCGTGTAAAGCGAAGAACACTATATACGGTGCCAGTGAATTGAAAAAGAGCTTACCGTTTAATTAACACTACTAGAACTATCATTGCCAAGATGAGGAAAAACGCAACCACGGCTCCTGCAGCTGGTCCAACTGGGGACATACCTTTACCCTTACCAGTACCTCCTTTTTTCTCTGTAAACATATTAGTATGTTCTTTGATTAGGTATATTATCTTCCTATTCTTATTCTTGATTTTATCACTCATTCACGTGTTTTCTGCTCTGTCCATTCATCTATCTATCCATCCACTCATCATGCCTACTTTCGTTTATTTGGTAGATCTTTTTTTTTTTTTTTTTTTTTTTCTCATTCCCAAAATGACTCTCGCGTTCTTTCATTCTCCTCATCTATTACTTCATTGATCGAACAATCGATTAATTAACTGGAATATTAGTGTTTCGTATTAATGAATTTAAAAAAATCCTTATGGGGAAAAGGGATGCACAGGTTATCATACCTTGGGTTACTTTAATTGTAGCTACTATTGCTGCTTGACCCGCATACACTTTCTTAAAAAAATAAAAATGAAATAAAGAAGACAAAATTATTTTCAAATATATGCAAAAACTTTGACCCTTTCGTACATATATACAAGTTTATCAAAAGTATATTGAAAATTATGGGGTATCCTCCCCGATATTTTTCTCGA